TATACAAATTAAAACACAAACACGCATCCTTCGCATTCTATGCAACTGAATGGAAAACCCCTGATCATTGCGTTAATATTGCACCGTATAATTCAATAGAGTTACTGCAGTCGATCTTTGAGGACAGGGGATCTGCAGCGGGGGGGGGGGGGATGATCTCGTCTGATCTAGGCTGCGAGGAGAGGGGAGGGATTTCCCCCACTCGCCCCCACCCCGACCCCCCCACCCACCCCCCACTCATCCAGGCCCGAGGAGATCCCCGCACCCCGGCCTCCCTTCCCAGACTGGCAGGCCAACGAGAGTCCTCCTCCACTCCTAGAGCGGATCTCGCGGCTCCAAACCAGGCCCCGGGTGAAGCCGGCATCCAACCCGCATCCTAGCCATCCCGGCCTGTGTCCGCCGCCAAACCCGCCCAGTCTCACCGCCCGGGTCTTCCGTCCGCTCCCGCCGCCCTCCTTCCGCGCCCTTTCCCCCCCGCCAACGACGCCGAGCGGTCGCCGAAGCTGCGCTCACCTCCTCAAGCAGCGGCCCAAAATGGCGGCGCCGAGAAAGAAAAGGAGGGCAAGCCCGCCAGGCACGCTGGGATAGGAACTCAAGAAGGCCCCCTGCGCCTCCTCTTCCTTGCCGGTCCTTAATACGAGGCGGCTATCGTGTTTGCCTGACAGGAATCGCTCGGCCTGGGAGCCCGTCCTTTTGTTGTTCGGTCGTTTGTTTTTAAGCCATTCCTCCCCCTGCTCTCACACGCCCAGGGATGTATTTTTCAAGACCTCGGAGGTCTTGAAAAGGCCGTCGTAAAAATTTCAGGAATTTGTTTAGACGACCTATTCTCAGTGAAGGCCCCTTCGGACGCTTTCTGGTAACCATGGCGACCCCCTCTTTCCTGCGGAGGGAGTCCGGGTGAGCCCCCCGAAACCCCCGAAACTGCACGCTGTTTAGGGGTCCCCCGACGCTCCTCGCTAGGTCGGGAAAGGTCTTTCGCCCAAGCTATACGTGGCAGCCGCCGCTGGCCTTCTCTGGGCGAGAAAGGGTCTGATTGGGTTGGTGCTCGGATGGGAGACCACCAGGAGATCCCAGGCTAGCCAGGAAAAACGTTATTTTTGTGATTTATACGCCGCTCCAGTCAGGGCTATCCTAAGCAGCATACAAAAACCAAGAGCCATGGCCGGTGCAACAATATACATTTTGAACCAAGGATCAGCATTTTGGCTGATCTCCAAAAGTAAGCCCAGGATTAGACCCGGCTTCTCTTTGGATGGGAGACCACCAGGAGATCCCAGGCCCGTAAGAGGCCCTGGAAACCTTTTTTAAAAGCAGCTTTCTTGCTGTGCCTCGGGAAAGGTGACACTTGGTGCCACAAAAAGCCACCATTTGCTGTAGGACCCCTGCCTCCCTATGGCACTCAGCCTCGTTCGCTGTAAAATTTTCTGATGATTTTGATGTCTTCTCATTGTTTTCTTTTTCATTGTTTATTCTGTTGTTCCATTCTTTTATTTCTCTTTTGTGTCTGCTGTTTTCATTTCTTCCTTTTCATTGAGTTACTGGAGTAACTCCATAGATACGTTGGCAAATAGTATAGTGTAGTAGTAGTAGTGATATTAGTACTATTAGTATTGTATAGTTTATTATATATTATTACAATATAATACTAATACTAATATTATACTATATAATACTATATTTTTATTCTATTCCAGGAGCTTTTAAACTATAGAAAACCTGATTGCGAGTGATTGGTTTTTTTAGATCAATAGCATCCAGAAGTTCAGTTTTCCAATTAAAGTGTGATACGTATAGTTTGCACTGGTGCTTGAAACACTCATAATTTATGATCATTGGGAAGGGCTCTTTCTTGTAGGGAAAAGAGACAGCTGAGCTTGGAATATCTGGCAGGCAGGAAGAAGGAAAAGGTAGACCCTCCCTAGCTGTTCACAGAGTACATAAAATAGAATAGAAATAATAGAAATAGAATAGAATAGAATAGAATAACAGAGTTGGAAGGGACCTTGGAGGTCTTCTAGTCCAGCCCCCTGCTTAGGCAGGAAACCCCACACCACTTCAGACAAATGGTTATCCAATCTCTTCTTAAAAACCTCCAGTGTTGGAGCATTCACAACTTCTGGAGGCAAGTAGTTCCACTGATTAATTGTTCTAACTGTCGGAAAATTTGTCCTTAGTTCTAAATCTAACAGTTATGCAGAGACTTTGCTTTAGTCTGGCAAGATTCAGTCTGTAGGCGGAAGGACAAGAAAGAACTACGCGGAAGCAACTCCACAGGTCATTCATGGTTCTTTGGGGCCCGTCAGCCCTCTAAGCCGAGCCTGTTCTTTCTTTGGGCCAGGGAATCGTGGATCTGGATCAAGAACACAACCCCCAAGCTCCCTCCTCTGGACGCCGTTCGGCTTTCCGCTGTCCTGGAAGACTGCACTGACCAGCTGGCCATCCTGGGCTACATCATGCCTGTTTCTTACGAGGGAAGGAAAGACGTGGAGGATGTAAGTGTGGTGCCAGGTTGTGAGAGAGTGACTGATGGGTGTTTGCAAGGAAACAGGAAATCATCCCAGATGCAGGAGCTGACCTAAAAGATCTAGGTAGTAGACACCTGGCTGGGAAAGGGACACAATTATCTACATCAAGTTTGTGGGCCAGTAAGTGGAACTGGAGAGGTGGATCGGAAAACCCTCCGATCCACAGGACTTCCTTCTCACCGATCCATCCATCCATCTGCTAGGTTGTAGAGTTGTAATTGCAGGAATGTTCCAATCTCGGATGGCCAACCTCAGATAAAGAATGTTTCCAAGCAAATACAACTCAGGTAAACAAAGTCACTCATCTAAAGGAGGACTAGAGAGAGGAAGTAAACATATGTTAGACTTTAACTAGAGATAATTAATTGTACAGATTACTGTGCTAAACAGTAACGAAAGTTAAGCAATAACCAAAGTTTTAACCAATGATGGAGGATAATTAAAAATGTGTATAAATGCAAGACTAGACTCCAATAAAGATCATCACGATTCGGTTGTTCATGATCAAACAACTCGACTGCCTCGTCATTACAACAGCTAGGTTTCAACGTTGCCTGCTGTGGTTGGAACAGGGGAGCTAATTCTAACTGTTCACCGTGTTGCAAATACAGGTAATTCGCCACTTACAGCCATTTATCTACAGTGCTGACTTCAAGGTCCCTCCCTTCCAACTCTTAATCTGTTTAAATAAACGACTCACTTTTTTTTTTTCAGGACTCTGGTCTTTCCTATCAGGCCAAGTCCAGAAGGTGGAGCTGGAAGACAATTTTTTCAATGTCTGGAGTTCTTGACTTAAGATCACAATCGAGTCCAAAATTTCTCCAGTTTTCTATCCAATGCCAATGTTTCTCAACTTTGGCCATTTTTTAAAAACAGTTTATTTATACGTTTTCTCTTTACATACATAAGTGCCTTGCGAACAGTGTATTGTCTGGATTATTTTGCTTACATAATAGTGCTTTTCCGATTCCTAATTTGTTTACCTCTGTCATCCAACCATTGGTAAAAAAAGTCCCGCATTTGAAAATATTCCGTATCTTCTTTTTCTTTTATCTTCAATGTCAATCTATCGATTTTTGCACGATCTAGTATTTTTAAATTACATCTTCTGTAGGTGTTTCTTCATTTTTTTTCCAGTGCTGCACATATACAATTCTTGCTGCTATCAAAACATGAAATATTAAATATATATTCTCTGTATCATACTTATCTGATACCAGCTCGATGACCTGTGCTTCGCTACAAAACTATGTGGTCGAGCTTAGTTTTTGGGAAGGAAAATAAGAGGGGAAAAATTCATGAGCCTCTCCCTACCAGCATCCAAGGGTATCCATCTGGCTAGCGTCCTGTCAGTGTGTCAGAGCGTTGAGGGCTGTTTGGAAACTGAAAGAGTATTTGCTGTGTGAGCAAGGAGGAGAGGGCGAGGAGCCTGGGCGTGGCTTAGCTCAGCTGTTCTGTACTAAAGCTGGTTGCTGATGTGAAACTGAACCTCCTCTGCTTGTGTTTTGCATTTGGAAGAGATTTCTTTTCAGGTGGGGAGGGGGAGTAGAACTCCTTAGCATCGGAGCGTGTTAATAATAATAATATAGGAAATACTAATGATCCGATGGTCATTTTTTAAAAAATCCTTTCTTAGTGAGCACCTAGAAGCCAAGAGGAATCTATGTGCCAAATTTCAAGTTTGTAGGCTTTACGGTTTCGGAGATTTTGTGATGACGCGCGAGGGGTATTTTGCTTTTATATATATAGACAGTACCTAACAAAAATATAATCTATCTATCTATCTATCTATCTATCTATCTATCTATCTATCTATCTATATATATATATATATTTGTTTTCTGAGGTTCTCGCGGGTATTTGTATGTGGATCTTTGGTTGTTCGGGTTTTCTCCCGCGTAAGATTTGAAGTATCTAGGCAACGTTTCGATGAAGTCTCATTCATCATCTTCAGGCTTCTGTCTCCGGCTCTGTGCTTCTCAGAGTAATGTGAGATTGCAGCTGCTTCCTCCTTTTAACTGCCAGTGGGGGTGGGACTTGATTGGGTGGGGGCTTGGCTGTGTTTTGATTGGGTGGGGGTGTGTTCTCATTGGTTGGGGGGTTAGCCGTGTTCTGATTGGAGGCGTGTTCTGTTCAGGTGGGGGCTTGGTTGTGCTCAGGTTAGTCTTAGTTGCTGGGGGATTTGAGCTGGAGAGTTGTGATCTTGCTGTTTGGCTTCTAGTTCGTGGTCCTGCTGCATCTTCATAGTGTGTGTCGGTTTGCTTCATGTATGGCTCAGAATGGAATGGGAAGGAAAAAAAGGGGAAGGAAGGAAGGAAGGAAGGAAGGAAGGAAGGAAGGAAGGAACACGCCTTCAACCAATCAGAACACGGCTAACCCCCCAACCAATGAGAACACACCCCCACCCAATCAAAACACAGCCAAGCCCCCACCCAATCAAGTCCCACCCCCACTGGCAGTTAAAAGGAGGAAGCAGCTGCAATCTCACATTACTCTGAGAAGCACAGAGCCAGAGACAGAAGCCTGAAGATGATGAATGAGACTTCATCGAAACGTTGCCCAGATACTTTGAATCTTACGCGGGAGAAAACCCGAACAACCAAAGATCCACATACAAATACCCGCGAGAACCTCAGAAAACATATATATATATCTTTATACACTGCTTTAATTTTTTTTTAACCATGTATATATTTTTGTCCAAATTTTTTTTTTGTTGCTTTTGCACAAGCAAAGACACACAACTGCTTAGGCTAGTGTTATTCAACCTTGGCCATTTTAAGACAGGTGGACTTCAATTCCCAGAATTCCGGGAGTTGAAGTCCACCCATTTTTAAAAGTTGACTTAACGCTGCTCTGGTCTATTCTGAGGCTTCCTTCACACATCTTTTTTTTTTGCCCCTCCTTCAGCTTGATGAAAAAGGAATGCAGGACATCCTTGCCAGCCAACAAGAGCTGAGTGCGAAATACAGGAACCTGATGGACAAGAGAGCCGAAAGCCTGGCCAAAATCCCGGCCGAGTTGGGAAAAATAGCCGAAATTCGGTGGCAGCTGTTGGACACCAGCTCTGACCTGAAGCGGTCCAACCATCTCTTCACCATGGCCACCAGGCAGAGCGTTTTGTCCACAGATGTCCTCAAGAAAGTTCAGGTGGACAGGTAGGATTCAGAATCCGAATCGGAATGGAGCTGGAAGGGACCTTGGAGATCTTCTAGTCCAGCCCCCCTGCTCAAGCATTCCAGACAATTGGCTGTCCAGTCAATGCTGGAGCACCAACAGATTCTGGTGGCAAGTTCTAGATTGCTTCTCTGCTTGACTGATTCCCACCTGTTGCTTCTTGTCCTGCCTTCAGGGGCTTTGGAGAAGAGGTTGACCCCTCTACTCTAGCTCAGCCAATGGGGAACCTAGAATCCTAGGGCTGGGAGGGACTTTGGAGGTCTTCTAGTCCAGCCCCCCCCCGCCCAAGCAGGAGACTCCATTCCATTTCAGACACGTGGCTGTCCAGCCTCTTCTTTAAAACCTCCAGTGATGGAACAGCCACAACTTCTGGTGGCAAGCAGTTCCACCGATGAATTGTCCTCACTGTTATAAAGTTTCTCCTTAATTCCAGGTTGGGAAAAGAAAGGCAAACCCAAATGAACGAACGGTCAAGAAAAAAAACAACACTCCCACCAACGTGGACGGGGAAGCCACTATTATACAAAGAGCAAACCCCGCTCCTTTCTAGTGTCAGGATTCTGGCAGTTACCCCAATTAAACCATGAGCCTCGAGCCACACTCCCAAAACGGCAAAAAGGATTTATTAGAAGCTAACACGCCGGCATTTGCCTGGGTGTAGCCGACTCTGAGCTACGTAATTCACTGTCACCACCCTTGATCCTGCTTTTCCCCCCCCCCCACCCCTCTGGGTGGATCATCCAACGAAGCGCGTCCGTAGCCAAGAGTCATCGACCGTGCTCTCCAGTTAAGATTCTTGCGTGGCTGGAGTCATCAAATCAGCCTTTGAAGAAAATATGAATGGAATGCACTTTCGATTCCACAGTTGCCGGCTCTTGGAAACTCCCACATACACACACACACTTCTTTCTCTTGGCAACTATAAAACGTGCATACAAAGTGTTTTATGAGTTGACATCTAGCGCTGATGATGTCGCCTAGCTGGGTCATGAAAGGTCTGCGCAGAAACAGGACCGAGGACCCCATAGCCGTCATCCTCCTCCTCGTTCTCCCTATGACCTTCCCCCCCCCCCGTCCCTTCTAGCACTGATGGTGTTACCTAGGTGGGTGACGAAAGGTCTGCAAGAAACCCACTGATCTCAAAGAGCACCAAGGACCCCCCTACTTTGGCCTGGCCACTGAGCGGACCCCTGTTTCCTGTTTCCTCCTGTCAGGCAATACTCGAGCAACGTCCTTGAAGGCACCATGGATGAGATGTTGATGCTGAGGACCTTCCGCACCCTGCAGCTGGCCGTGGCTCTGGAGAAGGACAAGAAGACCAACCTTCAGAACCTGGTCCTCAGGTCCTCGCTCCCGTCCTCCTTCTGGGCTCGGAGGGGGTCTCTCTCTCCCCCATTTGACTGGGAGAGGGCAGATCAAAACAGGGAGGGGAATTGTGAGCCTCGTGTGTGTGTGTGTGTGTGTGTGTGTGTGTGTGTGAGAGAGAGAGAGAGAGAGAGAAGAAAAAGAAAGATAGAGACAAGGGAAGAGGGAGAAGGAGAAAGAGAAGGAAGAAAAGAAAGAGAGAGACAAGGGAACAGGGAGATAAAGAGAGAAGGAAGGAAACAAAAAGAAAGAGAGAGAAAGAGACAAGGGAAGAGGGAAGAGGGAGAAGGAGAAGGAAGAAAAGAGAGAGACAAGGGAACAGGGAGAAAAAGAAGGAAACAAAAAGAGAGAGAGAGAGAAAGAGAGACAAGGGAAGAGGGAGAAAGAGAAAGAGAAAGAGAAGGAAGAAAAGAAAGAGAGAGACAAGGGAACAGGGAGAAAAAGAGAAGGAAGGAAACAAAAAGAGAAAGAGAGAAAGAGACAAGGGAAGAGGGAGAAGGAGAAAGAGAAAGAGAAGGAAGAAAAGAAAGAGAGAGACAAGGAAGAGGGAGAAAAAGAGAAGGAAGGAAACAGAAAGAGAGAGAGAGAGAGAGAGAGACAAGGGAAGAGGGAGAAGGAGAAAGAGAAGGAAGAAAAGAAAAAGAGAGACAAGGGAACAGGGAGAAAAAGAGAGAAGGAAGGAAACAAAAAGAGAAACAAGGGAAGAGGGGGAAGGAGAAAGAGAAGGAAGAAAAGAAAGAGAAGGGAACGGAGAAAAAGAGAGAAGGAAGGAAACAAAAAGAGAAAGAGAGAGAGAGAAAGAGAGACAAGGGAACAGGGAGAAAAAGGAAACAAAAAGAAAGAGAGAGAGAAAGAGACAAGGGAAGAGGGAGAAGGAGAAAGAGAAGGAAGAAAAGAAAGAGAGAGACAAGGGAAGAGGGAGAAAAAGAGAGAAGGAAGGAAACAAAAAGAGAAAGAGAGACAAGGGAAGAGGGAGAAAAAAGAAAGAAAGAGAGGGAGGGAGGGAGTTATATATTTTTCTTGCTTGGCCAAAACCACAGGCTGCTTTTATCCTATTCTGTGTTTTTTTTTGTAAATATGTAAAGCAAAAGTATCCAACCCTGGAAACTTTTAAACACTTACGGACTTCAACTCCCAAGAATTCTCCGGCTGGTTATTATTATTATTTTTCAGTGCTGTCCTAACTTTGAACGGTCACTAAAAGGAACGCTCGTAAGTTGAGGATTACCTGCATCTTGCTGGCCGAAAGGTTTCGAAAACGGTCTCTCCTTCGTTCTCAACCCCCCTGTGCCCCCTTCTCCCACCCCCCCATTTACAGGGAGGAGATGGGAAGGAAGAAGATCAAGAGCCTCCAGAAACAGCTTGGCGAGATCAAGAAGGAAAAGGATTACGAGCTGCAGGTCAGCCCCAAAACAGGATCTTTTCCGGTTCGATTATGTAAACGGGCTCAGCCCTTTGGGGGGTAGGAATGGCCTAATCCAGGAGTCGCCAACCGTTTGGACCTCAGGGACCACCAAACTCATTATTTTAAGTCCTGGGGACCACTAATATGAATTTTTGACTGAAGGTGGCTTGCTGACATTGGTGGTGGAGAGAAAGAGAGAGGGAGAGAGAGAGAGAGGGAGGGAGGAAGGGAAAGAGAGAGAGAGAGAGGGAGGAAGGGAAAGAGAGAGAGAGAGAGATCTGGTCTAATCTAACCTCTCTCTCTCCCTTCCCTTCTCTCTCACACACACAGATGGGGTGGGATTCAAATTTCTTAACCACCTGTTCCGTGAGCGTGGCCTAATTTGTGGGTGTGGCTTGGTGGTCCTGTGTCTGGCTGGCCATGGCTTGTATGTCAATATTATTTTTATATCAATATTTTAATTTTTTATTTAAAAAAAGAGCAACGTTTACCTAAAATCAGGCAGGCAGATTGAGTTGCTCCCAGAATCACAGATTCACTCAGAGATCTGTTTTTCTGCCATCGGCTACCTGAGCCTGCACTGCTTCGGTCCTAAGGAAGGTTCGGCTCTGCTTAAAAGCAGAGCCGAAGATCTAAAGACTAGCTAGAAAGCAAGAAATCCAACCATTTCCTGCTTCCTAGCTAATCTAAATCTCCCGGCACAGCAGAACAGAGGATGGTCAGGTGTGTGTGTGGGGGGGGAATAGCAACTTAGCAGGCAGGTTTGCCAGGTAAGGAGTGAGTAGGCGGGGAGGGTTCCCATGGGCCATGTGGGCAGCGCAGCCTTATGTTCCCACGCAGCCTGGATTAATTGCTTTGGGGGTGACATTTCTCTGCGGACCACCAAAACTTTCTCACGGACCACCAGTGGGCTGCGGACCACTGGTTGGCGACGGCCGGTCTGGATAGCTGGGCCTGTCTGGCAGTTCTAACCTTACTTCCTTTTTCTCCACCACCACCATCATCCTGGTTCTTTCACAGAACCGGAATGAGATGATTGCCTACCTCAAAGACCAGCTTCAGGAGATGAAGGCCAAAACGGACATGGAGAATCGCTACGTCAAGAAGGACACCGATCTCCAGGTGGCTCAAGTGCAGAAGAAGTGCTTTGCGACCGAGAACGATCTGCAGAATGAAATTGAGGTACGTTTTCCTCGGTGGTGGAGAAGAGCTTTCTTTGGGTGATGGGGGGGGGTAGGAGAGAAAGGGAGAGGGAGGAAAGAGACAAGGAAAGAGGGAGAAAGAGAAAGAAAGAGAGGCAAGGAAAGAGGGAGAAAGGGAGAAAGAAAGAAAGA